AGTGTCTGGTACATAGTAGGAGCTTAGTAAATATTCATTTTAAAAATTTATATTGTGTCTCCCTCCCCTTTCCCCCCAAGTTTTTCTGAAGGTTGAGATTATTTCATGTTTTCTTTGTACCTCCAAGGCCTTTCTTGAGTATAATAGCTGTTTAATAAATGATTGTGGTTGACTTGAATCATAGTTATTGATGTATTTATCTTGTTCTACAATAGACTATGAGCTCCCAGAGAGTAGGGATCATATCTTATCTAAACTTTGTATCTCATCCTGGCTTACTACAATGCTCACGAGTTTACTGCCTATTTGTTGAAGGTTGAAGTAAAGCCTGAGGCCCGCCTCCCTTTGTATTTTCCATGGCCTCTGAAGGGCTTAGATAAGGCTGCCATAGACTAAGTAAGCCAGGTCTTTGCTTCAGAATGAAGCTTCTAGCAAGGCGCTGAGCTGTGTACCTACTGAAGGTGCTCTTGACATCCTTGCAGATAGTTTTCAGAGAGGGAGAAGAGAAGAGCTATTATTATTGTTCACTCGTCTCAGTCACATCGGACTCTTTGTGACACCATTTGGGGTTTTCTTGGCAAAAGTACTGGAGTGGTTTGCTATTTCCTTCTCCAGTTCATTTTACAGATGAGGAAACTGAGGCAAACAGGGTTAAGTGACTTGTCCAAGGTCACACAGCTAGGAAGTGTCTAAGGCAAGATTTGAACTCAGGTGGATGAATCTTCCTGACTCTAGGACCTTAGGTCAATGTTTCCTCCATTTTAAAGGTGAGGAAACTGAGACCCAGAGAGAGGAAGTGATTTACTTATAGTCACTTGGCTTTTGTGAGTAGTGAAGCTAGGACTCCAAGTCAGGTTTCCTTCTAATAATAAACCCTTTCTCCTTGTATCTTCTCCTCCTGAACCTCAGATTTACAAAGTACTTTCCTCATAACCACCATACAAGATGGGTAATGATACTATTATTAATCACATTTTTCAAATGAGAAAACCGAGGCTTAGTGATGGGAAATGACTTAGGGATGAACCTTCAGGAAAAACTGGGTCTGGGAGTGGTACAACAAACCTTTTTGTGGCTTTGGGCACAGATGAAGATACTGTCCTTCCTTAAAATCATTTGCTGGTCCAGGCAAAGGTTAAGAAAAGTCAAGCAGATGCTCAATCTTCATGCTATCTTCCTTTTCCCATCAGTAGGATTCCAAGGAGTCAATTACCAGAGCTCATAGAGGAGGTAGTCAAAGGATCTGGGAACTGAGCTTCCTTTCCTGAAGAGGCAGACACTTTCATGGTGGGTACTTTTCCCACCCTGAGAGAGACTGCAGTACAAGGGTGCAGGAAGAAGTCAGCAAGGCGGGTTCTGTTGTGGGTGGGGTGGGAGCAGTCACTGGGGAATTGAGATTTTTTTTTAAACAGCACCAATTGTATAGAATATTGAGGATGACACCATAAACATATTAGAATAAAATAATTTCTGGTACCTTTCACAAGTATGATTAGGAAAAAAAACTTAATAAAATGAGGGATAGAGTAGATTACAAAAGGCAAAATAGAATGCTTTAATTACATGAAATTAAAAAGTTTTTGCATTAGCAAAATCAATGTGATTAGGAGAAAAATGGAAGCCATCAATTAGGAAAAGCAAACAAAAACAAGAACTTTGCATCAAATATCTCTGATTTTACACCTACATATGTATATATGTATCTAATATATATGTGTGTATATATACATACACATACACATAGACACACACACATACACACACCCACACACATACATATATATTTATATATATATATATATATAGATAGATAGATATGAAACTAGAACAGGTATATAAGGCCACGTCATTCCTTAATGGACAAGGGGTCAAAGGATATGAACAAATAGTTCTCAAAAGAATTGCAACTCTAGTAAAGATTGCCCCAAATCATTAATAAAGAGAGAAATAGAAATCAAAACAATTCTGAGGTTTCTCCAAACACCCAGCTAATTGGCAAGGATGACAAAAAATGGGAATAGGTAGTGTTGGAGGGACTACAGAAAGAAGGAAATAAGCATTTATTAAGCACCTACTATTCACCAGGCACTGTGCTAGGCACAATGTCATTTGATCTTCACAACCACCCTATTATCATCCCCATCTTTGGGCAGGAATCCAGAGGTTAAGTGACTTACCTAAGGTCATGCAGCTAGTAAGTGTCTGAGGGCAGATTTAAACTCTGGTCTTCTTGACTCCAGGCCTAGTTCTTTATCCACCGTACGACCTAGCTGCCTCCAGAAAGAGATGTTTCTTCTCCACTGCTGGTGGAGCTATGAATTGGGCAGACCATTCTGGAAAGCAATTTGCAATTATGCTAAGAAAGTGACTAGAATGCCCATAGTGTTTGATTCAGAGACCCTACTGTTCAGCATATACTCCAAGGAAGTCAAAGGCAGAAAGGTCCTATATACCCCGGAATATGTATAGTAGCAAAAACTAAAACCAAAATAGATGCCCATTGACTGGGGAAGGGTAAACAAGTTGTGGTGCATGAATGTAATGGAATATTACTGAATGAATGAAAAAAAAATCCTCAGTAAGCACCTGCTATATGCAAGGTATTGTGATAAGCCTGGGGAATACAAATATAAAAGTGAGTCTCTGCCCTTACACTTTAATGGGATGATGAATATGAAGACTAGAGAAACTTGGTAGTTGTTCAGTCATGTCTGACTATTTGTGACCTCACTTGCGGTTTTCTTGGCAAAGATATTGAAGTGGTCTTGTCATTTCTTTCTCTAGCTCATTTTACAGAGGAGGAAACTGAGACAAACAGGGTTAAGTGACTTGCCCAGGGTCACACAACTAGTAAATGTCTGAGGTTGGATTTGAACTCAGGTCTTCCTGACTCCAAGCCCAGTGCTCTATACACTACACCACCTAGTTTCCCCACGATTTTGTTGTTAGAAGCTTGGGAAGACACATGGATTTATGCAAAATGAAATAAGCAAAGCCAGCAAAACCAAAGACTACAGTAATTTAAATGGAAAGAACAACAACAACAACAAAAAAAACCCAAACTGAATGCTGTGTAATTAATTACATCACTCAAAAACCACATATCTGAAAAATCTATTTAAAGAATTAAGATAAAAGATGTGTTAAATCTAAGTTCTTTTTCTACTCATATGTCCTCCTGTTTTAGCAAATTTAGGGGAAAATGGATTTTTTTCCCCCACCACGGTGGGGAAATCCATGAGGAAGGTAGGTGTGATCAGAGGGCCTTGCTGAAGTCATTTGGCAATGGGTTTGGGGGTATTCAGATATAGAAAGATTGTCTTAGGATGTTGATACAGTCCCACCTCGGCTGTCTTGTCACAGCCCTGTCCTACTTCTTTTCCTAATAATAACACATTTCCTTAGCACTTAAATGTTGACAAAGCACTTTCTCCACAACTCTGGGCTCTTCTCTCTCTATCCTCTCCACAAAGAGATCAGCCACTTACATGGCTTCAACAATTTTATGTCATGGTTCCCAACATATTCTTAATTTTAACTTCTTCTGATCTCCAGTTCTGTATCTTTAGTTGCCTATAAGACGTTGTCACCAAGATGATCGGGGTGGATGGGGTGTGAGGAGAGTTGGGGATAAAAAGGGATGGGGTTAGTGATGAGGATAAGGATAGAATCCTCTGTTACAAATGATGGCTTTTTGGGAAGGGGAAGGGGAAGGGGAGAAATAGAAGTGGGAATTTATATGATGTAAGACAAAAGATATCAATGAAATTTTATTTTAAAAAAGAATGGAATTAGGGGTATGAATGGGGACAGACTGAGATTGAGACAGGGATAGGATAGAGCAGCAATAGAAAGTGGGATGAGGATGGGAAAAAGAAGAATTGAAAGGGGTTTGGGGAAAAGATAGGAGGATGAAAAAGGGGTTAGGGATGAAATGGGTCAAAGATGAGTTTGAGAATGGGAATGAGGATGTGTAGAAGATTCAAATTGTCAAGGGCAGGGATACATTTGGAGATGGAATGGGGATAGGGATGATGAGAGGGTTAGGGATGGGAATGAGTTGAGAATAGTTTTGGGGATGGGATAGATGGGGAAAGGGATGGTGACAAGATTAGGTTGGGGATGTTGTTGAGAATAGGGTTAGGAATGGGTTGAGGATGAGTTGAAGATTTGGATGGGCGTGGGCAAGGGTTGGGGACAAGATTGTCATAGGGTTGGTGTTGAGGATAAGGTAGGGATGAAAATGATCTGTGAATGGCCTGGGGGATGAGGTTATGTATAAGAATGGAATGAATACATGGGTGGGATGATGGGGATAAACATGAGAAGGAGCATGAAGGTGGACTAGCGTCAGGGACCTATTAAGACTGGAGGGGTCCAGGGATGGCGATAAGGATCAAGAAAGCCCTGGACTCTGGCAGAGTTTCTGAGGGAGGTAGGGAGAAGGAAGATGCCTCGGCGGGATGGGGGAGGGCAGTGATGCAGCAGTGTTCCCAAAGTACCTGTGCTGTTTGCCTGACCGAGTAGTGTCACTGGAAGGGGAACAGCGACGGGGACAAGAGGGCTGTGATATGGTGGGGCTGGGGGTCAGGAGTCTGGACCGGAAGAAGGCCGTTGAGGGTGAGGGGGTAGGGGGCGTGACTAGTCCTCCTCCCTCCCACCGGGTCCCGCTTGGTAGAACCCGGCGCTAGGACCGAGCGGAGTTGGGGCCGGGCGGAGCATCGCGCCCCCCACCCTCCTGCCTCTCCTTCCCCCCTCCCCCTCCCCTCCTTGCCCAGCTTTCTCTCCCTCCCCTCCCTCCCCTCCCTCCCTCTCTCCCCTCCCCTCCCCTTCTCTCCCCTCCCCTCCCTTCCCCTCCCCTCCCCCGGCTGGGCTGTGCTGGGCTGTGCTGCGCTGCAGTGTCTCTCTCCGAGGCAGCGGCAGAAGCAGCGGCCCGATCCCTCGCCGCTTTCTCGGCTCCGGCCCGGCTCCTCTGCAGCCCCCGGCCCGCCGGCTGCACCATGGCCAGTGTCAGCTTCAGCGGCCACCGCCTGGCGCTGCTGGCGGCGTACCAGGAGGTGATCCAGGAGGACTGCCCTGCCGACTGGTGAGCGGCGGCCCGGCCTGGCCCCCCGGGGCCCCCAGCCTCGGACCCTTTGTCCCTTGCCCGCCTGGTTGCGGGGAAGGGGGCTACCTCTTTGTGTTCCCGTCCAGTGTGTGTGTGTGGGGGGGGGAGTTGGGTGGGCGCCAGAGCCTGTGCTGGGCGGGGGCTTCGGGGGATCCCCAAGAGGGCCCCGGAAAATGGTGCATTGGGCAGAACTAGCCCGGGCTCGAGGGGGGAGGGGGGAGGGGGCCGCCTTTGTGCGATCCGGCTGGGGAGGGAGGGGGGGTTCCTCCGGGGGGGTGCTCCGGGTGGGGCCGGGCCAGGCCCGGTGGGGCGGGGCCAGGAGCGCAGGGGTGGGGGGTGTGTGGGGGGGGGCGCTGTGGTGGGGGTGGGGGGGTGGGGGGGGGGGGGGCTAGGAAAGCTTGGTTGGGGGATTGGAGATTAGATCCAGATGTGCATCCCCGAAGGCTCTAAAGAGCTCCTGGGGACCCTCTCCCTTGGTGGCTCCCGGGCCCTGTGTCCCCGCCCGTCGACTCGCGCAGGGCAGGTGTGTGTGTGCGCGCTCCTGGGCCAGCCAAGGGCACCTTCCAGTCCAGTCGGTGGGGTTGGGTGGGTGGGTGGGAGGGGGGTGGTATCTCAGGCCTGGGCTCCCAGACACTACTGCCCGGCTGAATGAGGGCCCTGGCCCGGCCCGGCCCTAGCCGGCAGCACAAAGGAAGGAGGGAAAGAGGGAGGGAGGAGGAGGAGAAGGAGGGCGCGGTGGGGAGGAGGAGGGATCGAGGGGATGTGTCAGGAGGGGCGGGGGAGGGGAAGGGCTGAGGCTGCTATCTGGAGATTAGGTGCTGGGGAACCCTTTTCGAGAGCCCCGCCCCCCCCCCCCCCCCCCCC